AATGGCGATAGGTAACTAAGAGATTTTATGGATTATAGAAAGTAATTAGAGGTATTTGGAAGAATGTTTATGAATTGTATAGTATTTTAATAGATAGATTTTGTGCATTAGATTAATTCAAATTAAAGGTCTCGGTTATTTGTCAAAAAGACTTATCAATTTAATGGGTAAGACGAACTATCCCGATAATTTAATAATAACAAGAATTACGCTCAAATTATATCTAAACACAGGCCGACAACCCTTCTAACTCTATCTGAATTTTTTTAATTCCTAAAATTTGTATTATTAAAAAATTTATGTTTGATGCGGTATTTTAAGCTACGGTTATCCATTTTGAACGATTCAAAATATGTTAGAAATATTGCAAAGCGACCACGATAAATATGTTATCGACGAAGTTTAAGGGTCGAAGATTTTCTTGCATAAATTATTGAACTAGCAAAACTATGATTATTGATTTTTTAAATTTATTTTCCATATTGATATCGATGTAAAATAAGATGAAGTTTAAACCATAACTATTAAGTCCATTTCCTGAGGCCATTTTCAACTTCTTATTATCAACTCATCGTTTATCAATTTTAAATTTGAAAGATGTATTTTAAAGTTTATCATGAATTCGAAAAGATAACAAAAATCTCACCCGACAAGTAAAGAAACATAGCTTGTAAACAAGCAAAAAAAGGTAACACCAAAACAAGAAGTAAAAGGAAAAAAAAAGCTAATTTGTTGTCCTTAAAAAAAGTGACATACACATACATACACTTTGAACTCCAAAAATTTGTTGTCTAATTTAATTCTTGTGAAAAGATAAGGATATGCTAATTTTTTATCGATGTGATTGAATGCAAATGAAACATCAATATTAAGAAATTTTATAGCAGTAGTTTTACTCGAAGGTGATGAAAAAGTGACCAGATACTTTTTAACAGCATTATACCAGAGCTCTCTTGAAAAAGTGATACTTACCTTCGTCAAAGATAAATACATTAATTTTATCTATATCTATAAAAAAGAATACAAATGAAAAGATGTAAGACTATTTTTATAAATAAATTTACAGAGTATGTCACTTTCAAAATTCTAGCACATTGTTAATTCATACGCAACACAAATAAAGTGATATCATAACACTTTTTATTTGATTTCATATGCAGAAATCAAATAAAGTGATACATTATCTCTCTCTTTTTATTGTATAGCAAATTTGAATTCATATTTAAATTTTCACAAACACGCATGTATGCATCTCTTTAATTGATTAAAAAGAATTCCAATGAGTTAGTACGTGACTTTCTTAAAAAAAAGTCTTCAAATTCTAGCAACTTTATTCATATGCAAAAGATAAACAAAGTGTTAAATAATATCACTTTTTAATTGAAAGCAAAGTTTATATTTAGTCATAATTAAATTTTCACAAACAAACATGTGGTATCTCTTTAATTGTTCAAAAAAGAATTCAAATAAGATACCTTGCGATTTTTTTAAAACTAGGTTTAAGCAACGTGCAATGCACGTTTGCTTAGTTTATATATAATTTTTTTGGTTAAGAATTACATTTTTATTAATAAA